TATTATGTTTAGAAGTAAAGAATTACATGAATTTGCGCCACCAGTTCAATCGATAACTAATACTTGGACTATTAAAACTTCCTTAGAAAAACCTCAGTACATACTTTTTGCATTGCAACAGGGAAGAAAAAATCAATTGAAGAAAAACTACAGTCAATTTGATCATTGTAATCTGAGAGATGTCAAATTGTATCTTAACGATACCATGTATCCCTACGACAACTTGAATGTTGATTTCACAAATAATCGTTATGCAATTCTCTATGATATGTTTAAAGAGTTCCAGACATCGTTCTTATCCAAAACTAGCGAGCCATTATTCGATAAGGATGAATTTAAAGAAAAGACACCCATAGTAGTAATCGACTGTTCTAAACAAACGGAAGCTTTGAAGAGAGGCCCCGTTACAATTACGTTGTGGTTTGAAACGACCGCAGGTATTCCAGCAGACACCACAGCCTACTGTCTTATTCTTCACGACCGAATGGTAAAATACATTCCTGCACAAGATGTCGTCAGAGTGTTGTGAATAATTTAAAATGTTACTGTATTTAAAATTAATGTATTATGTTTGAGGGGTAAATAAAACTACATATACAACCATTTTTGTGTATTTTATTTATGACAACCAAAAATTACATCTAAAGTTTTCTTATAATCATCTAATTTAATTGAGGGCCATCTTGCTGCATCTGGTCCTTCGGTCCATCCTAATGGTAATTCAGGATTAGCTTCACCTTTGACAATGTTCTTTTTGAGCCAGGTGAAAATTCTTTTGTGCTCCTGATTTTCAGAGGGTTTAAATGTGAAGGAATCGTAATTGATTATCGTTAGAGCCTCAAAGAATGTAGTGAGTGCTTTGTGATTTGCCAAATATGCAGCTCGACACATAAATTCGTCAACACATTGCTCGATCCGTCGGTAATTTTTCTGGATATTTTCAACAGGATAGAAGATATCCCCCAGATTCTGCCAGCGATGATCACTTAATAATTTATAAATAAAAGATTTATAAACTAGTGAATTATCAAGGTAGTTGGTGGTCATTAAAAACTCCAAAGAAGCATAATTTAAATTTTCAATGTTGTCTCTTTCACATATATTTAGAAATGCATCAATATAACTGTCAAGAGATTGTTTCTTTTGTAGGAGTACACATATGTCAAGAGTAAAAAAACCAACTTCATTTTCAGCAATCCATTTAAATACTTCATCCGGTACAATAAATTCGGCTTTTTCAATAATGTAAAGGAACAAATTTAATTTTGTCCTATCATTCGCAGCGGCGCGAAGATAAATTTTATACACATTTTCGGATGCACAAAATGCTTGCAAATCAACAAACTGTCTCAAGTCAGACATTGTAGTAATGTGAAATCACCAACATCGAATAAATCATCAGCTAACTTAAACTGCTTTTATATTATAATTCCCCACTCTTCACATTTCTGGTGGCGAAATATGATATCCCCAAGGTCGCGTATCCGTTGCAAATCTTGTAACAATTCTCTTATCATCATTATGGCTGAGAACTATTTTCTCCTGTTTTATTGTGTAAACAATATGATGTTTTGATTTGATGAGATTTTGGGACTTTTCGTAATTTCGGCTATTAAATAAGCATTCTTTATAATTTTCGAATGTTATTGTTTTAAGTGAAGCTTTCGTACTACCTTTGGATTTCTTAACTACCTTTTTATTAAAATCATCCTTTGCAACTCTATATGCATACATTTTCGATCTGAGACCCACAAATTCTAACATAATCTTACCGTTATTTTCATCTTTCATCAAACCTGGCACTTTTTTATTTTTTTGTTCTATACCATAAACATTATACAAATCATAGTCTGAAGTATCAAACCGATGAGAATCTTTCTTAATATATTCGTATATATCACCTACATGAAATTCGTAAATTAGACTGTCAGTGTCGGTGTAAAGCAACTTTGCATTATTGTTAAATGTTTCCTTAATATAACCATAGTGGAATTCATAGAGAAAAGTTTTAGAAATATCTAAAATACAAAAACCGACATAAATTGGTTTATTTAAAAACACCTCTAATTTACTCATTTCGATGATAGCTGAATCATCATCAAATACAACGGAACTGTGAAAATTTGGTTTAGAAATAAGAGAACGAACTCCCCATCGTCCCTCCCATTTACTGACCAATCGAATATCCCTATGTTTTCGAACATTTTCCATGCATTTACCATAAATAGCGTTAATCATTAATTTAAAAAAATCTTTTTCAAAATCGTTCTTCGCTTGCTGTCTAAGCCTTGTATTTAAATCTATATATTCCTTTAACCACGCAGACTGTTCGAATTTAAGAACACGATGTACACATTTTATTTTCATACCAAATTTTATATACATTTTTAAATTCCTATAATGTATAACATAATTTTTCTTAGGATATAAAGTCAATAACAACTTTTTAAGTTTAGATCTTGAAATGGGAGGTATCATGTGCTCTGGAGCTAAAGGTAAATCGCTATGTATTTCATGCAAATCTACTGGATAATCCAAATCGCATTCAATAATATAACCAGTTGTGGAATTATCAGAAGTATCTAAGATATCTGAAATATTGAAATTTTCTACAAATTCAAATTTCCCATACGGTAAACATTGAGACATTGCCGCTCCGTAAAGGTTATTAACATCAAAATACATTAAATAGGTACTATCTTGTGAAGGATCATATTCGTCTTTATTCATGTACTTATTATTGGCTTTACCGTATCTATTAGAACATTGGGAAACTCCACCTCTAATACCTCTCTCCACAAAAAGGACTTTATCTATGTCCGTTAAGAGTTCTAGTTTAATTTTTGTCGTTTTTAACATGGCATCAAATGTTAAGCCTGGTGCAGTATAATAATGTAAGGGATCAAGTTGATAAGTATTTAAACACGTAGTTCGAAATGCTTCGAATACGTCGGCTAGAAGAAGCACATCTGTTTTTAAATATAAATCGGAATATTCTCCTAATGTACGAATATTGAAAGTATTCCAAACTTTGATAGCGTGAGAATAATCTTCATCTTTAACATCTTGTTCGTATAAGCGGCTATAAAATTCCTTTTTTTCGGGTAGTTTTGTTTCAAGGAGTTTCTCCCAGGAATTTATATAATCATAAGGAAACACTCCTTTTCTGTTTAACAAATAAAATTCTTCCATATTATTACAATTTGTCTGAGTAATAATTTTTTGTGAATTATCTAAATTGGAAGAAAGCTTGTCTAAACTGTAGGGCATAAATCTGAAAGAATCAATAAATCGTAAACTAACTTTTGTATCATCGACAAATTTAGTAAATGAAATATATCTTTCTTTATTGATGGGAAGCAATTTAATGTCACCTTTTATTGAATTTGAAAGTTCTTTAATAAAAAAATGTGCGTCATATCCACTCATATTATGAAACACCACAGGTATAACACAAATATCTTTATAATTTAAATTACAATTCTGATGTGCAGCGCCCCTATACATTCCAGTTAAGTGATTATGATCGCGCACTTTAACGTTATTTTCTGAAAATGTTTTTTTACATATATGACATATTTGTGAGGATTCAAACTGCTCACGTTCTTGTGTAGTTAATTTTTCCATAGATATAATGTTTTGAAATTTGTTGTTACAAAAATGAGCCAATTGATTTAACTCTTGAACAAACCATTGGATGCAATCTTTACCTCGATACAAACGAAATCTGGAAAGAGAATTATCATATGAACAGTGAAAATAGTATGCAACACTGTATGCAACATGTTTTTGATAAGGATTGGTTTTACAAGTAGTGGACATGTGGTCTTTTGAATAATCAAGAAGAATACTCTCGAGATCTGCGTATATAGTAAAAGGTACTTTCTCTTGATATCTATAATTTTGAAAATACAAATAATTTTCGTTTTCTGATGGCAATCTTATGGAATATTTATTAATACTCTGACATGTAGTTTTATGTTTTTGGAGTAACTCCTCTGTAGTGAAATGATTTAAACATCTTTCGCATATATAAAATTTACATTTATGGAGGGAAAGTTGCTTAGCTAAAAGAGCTGACAAATTTTTGATCCACACGAAATGATAGAGCAATTGACGATCTTCAAAGTGATCATTGTCGTTTTTTGTATTTTGTATTTGTGTTTCAGCAGGTAGCATAAGCAAATTAATTACTTTATTAGAATTTAAAAACCTTGTGCTTAAACGACAAGGTAAAACTTTTTTCTCCTCGATGCAGTACAAATTAATTGCAAGATTGTTGAGTTCTTCAAATTTTTGAATGTCTTTAATTGTGATTGGAAAGTCTAAATTATCATATTTCAACACATTTTTGAAGTGTGGATACGACGATTTTCGATGTGAATTTTTATCGGTAGGGAATAAAGCTGAAACTATTGCCCATAGAAAACAATATTCATCATCATTTTGAACATTAATTATTGCATGTTTTTTTTTAATGCAAGCTGGTGTGGACACGAAAGTTGAGTAACCAAATTTGATTGGATCATATTTATTTATGTTAATTTTCAATCCTAAAATCTCATACAACGCCCAACCGGAGTCCTTTTCCGCAAATTCTTCTAATTTCTTCATTATCTTATCAACAACGTTCTCTTCGTACCATTGCTTTAAATCTGTATATGTATCAATGTGCTGATTTTTTGTGGAGAATGTTTTAACGTCTGTTTCACCAGAGTGCGGTTTAATAAAATTTGCCGAAAAAATTACATTTACTTTTAGCATCGTGTTTTTTAGCTCTTTTCTAATTCTAAACATAAAACATTTAAAAGATTGTCGAAAAAACTGAAGAGGATCTTTAATGTGATGATTAATTATAAATCCTGTACGAATTCTTTGTTCAAAACAAGATTCTATGTCTTGCCAGGTTACGTTTGCCGTAGGTTTAAATTTGTCTCTTTTAAAATAACCTTCTCCAATTTTTAGAGACAATTGTTTTTTTTTATTTAAAAGCTTGAAGCGGTAAAATTTTAAATAAGCTAGACTTGTTTCTAAGGAATTAGCATTTTCTAAAATATTTTCTCGATGTATTTTACATCTAAGTGCTTTTCTAATTATTCTAATGCTGGTATTTATATATACTAAAAAATTTTTAATTTCTTCGATTGTTTTGATTTTACTAATATATTCATGAATTAGCTTAAGCGAGCCTTTACATATAGCCGTCACTGTTTCCTGCGGATGCATTTCTTTTTTTTTTTTTTGCTGTCGAACTTGTTTATCACAGTAGAAAGAAGAGCACTATTATTTTTCTTTATTTTTCTGTGGAATACCTTCTTATTTATATGTGAACGAAATTTCCGATTGTAACTCACAACTCAACAAATTTAATAAAAATCAGCGAAAAATGAGACGCGTATTTTTGCAAGCTCAGAAAAACAACTAAATTATCAACTTCAGCGTAATTAAGAAAATGTAATCTGTAGTAAAAGTGGAGGAAAATAGCAAGAGTGGGGATTGATAATGTGTATAAATGGGAGATCACCCGCAAGAGTTATAACAGTCCTCAACAAATTGAAGATCACAGTCAGTCCTCAACACTTAAGAAAAATATATATAAACAACAAAATGGGTAAGCTTGTCTTTATTACTATTAAATAAAAATCCTAATTGTTTTTTCTTTTTTTTTATTTAGAGCAATTTGTCATATGCCCGTTTGACAGAAGCCATAGGCTTCTTGAGAGCCGATTGAAGCGCCATATTTTTAATTGTCATCGTGAGGCCTGGGAGCGGGAGAGATGTCTTCGTGAGGCTGCTTCCAGAGCATCCCATACGCCACCATCACCACCACCACGAGCACCACCACCACCGCCAATAATAGAATGCCCAGACAACTGGGATAATGAAATTAGTCAAACGTACGTCCCCTCCATGAGTAGGGAGCTGCTTCTGGACAGAACGGCAATCAATAATTATAAGTCAGTTTTTAGAAGAAAATAATAAAATAATTATAGTAATTTGTTTCGGTCCGTTTATCGCTACCACCCTACCATGACTTACCACCTATACAAGCTTGCTATTCGAGTGTGTGTATACAAGAACATAACTAGTCTAAAATGTTTCTGCCTATCAACGTGATGGTACTATTAAGTGCGCTTGTTGAAAACAACTTATATATCTATACCACGCCAAACATAACTCTTCTGTATATTCAGACGTATGAAAAGGAATGTTGGGAAAAAATGACTCCGATCAATATAATCGAAACCAGTTATCATCTCTTCTATGCGAAAAATATCACAACGCAAAATTATTTGGCTTACAAGATAAAAACAGAGCAAGGAAATCGACAATTTTCTCAATGGTTAATAATCGAAAATATTAACAGTAGTAACAATTCAAAGGAAATCTTTGATTTTTGTTTAAGAAACGATCATGTGTGGTCTGCTTCACTTTTTCTCATATTCTCGATAATGACCGTAATAGTAGCATGCTGGGATTTGGCGAGCCGTTAGTGCTAATTGTGGTGGTGGTGGTGGTGGTGGTGCTGTTGAATACATATATAGGTTACTTCGCAACAACAAAGTACTCATTCTATCCAAACAATGTTAGGCTTAAACTGCACACTTATTTTATCGACCATTTTAATACAGAAAGATTTGTATTTATTCACTGATAGCAATGTTACAGATGTACATTTACAAACTCTGGTTAGAAATAAAGAATGTACTTGTAGAAAAATGATAGAAATTAAAGATGGACATGATCAGTTAGTTATGTTTTATTCAAAAAATGTATCCGTTTCCAGCCAACTGCAGTATCAACTAGAATTTGTCTTCAAAAACAGAAGCCGATGCAAGTCACCAAATATCACCACTATTAACGATTATAGTGGATACAAAAGTTCTAGCGGTGAAAATGCTACACAATATTGTTTGGCAAAACCCTGGATCTGGATATTTACTTCTGCAGGAGCAATTATTTTTGTAATTATATTTTGTGTGTTACTTTATTTAGTGTTAATATGTTTCACTCATTGTAGCAAACCCAATAATCCAACAAATGTTTGAAAATGTATGAATGTACGGATTCAATAAAACAATTATTTACATTTATTAGTTTTATTTCACATATATTCTATAATTTTTTTTTTTCTAACAGCATCAGCACTACGATTTAACACAACAATAAATTATTTAATATTTTTCAAATTATTAGCAGCAACACAGGAATCATCGTGATCTACCACTACAGTATATGCTGACATAGCTAAATTGTTTGGTTCAAATCGTACTTCCTTTTTCGCAATTCTTTTCTTATATTTGGTGATGCGATCTTTTTTTTCAACATTGTCGAAATTCACATCTGTTAATTTCCATTCAACAAGTACTGGATTTACTCCACTTGAAAAATACATTGCCACTTTGCATATCGTTAAATCGAAAGATTTGAGAATTCTTAGTATTCTGGCTTCCAAGGAAATTTGAGGACGAGGTTCAATAAAAATAAGGTTAAATAGAAAACCTTCAAAATTCAAATAACAGCAAGGCCATTTGGATTGATAAACGTAAATAGAGATTCGGTTAGCTTGGCAGTTATCCTTAGCCCATTCTTCTATATTTTCATTTTTTTCTATATAAATATCAATGTCCGTATATGAAGAGGTTCGGTTCAATAGAAATGCGGCACATCCACCAGCCATGAATTTTCTGCACAATGGAAATTTTTGTCGTAACAAACTTTCGATTGCTTGAATGATACAACGTTTCTCTTCATTCAATGAATCTATATCAAGATCGCGAGAAACCAAAAGACTCTCTTTCAGTGGAAACATATCTGATGTGTGAACTGAACTGATAAATTTATAGAACACCAATACGTCTTATATACATGTGCTTCATCACAGTGAGGCTTGGATTGCTGAATTGCAGTTCTCACGGAAATAGTTTTTTCATGACCTTGAACTCTTAAGTTCCGTGAAGAGCACGTGTTTATGGAATTGCCGAATTGCATTTCTCACAGAAATAGGTTTTTTCATAACCTTGAACTCTTAATTTCCGAGAAAAGCACGTCTTCAAAAATTGCTGAATTGCATTTCTCTGATTTGGATCAATCTTTAAAATGTCCATATATGGACATGAAAAACTGCTGATTCGGCATTTAACCCCTCTACATTGTTTATTTTTTTGTATATTCTGCATTATTTTTCCTATATATTTAGAGTAGTTACTTATAATTGTCATTAGTTATTTTTATTCTCTCTCTCTGTGTGTGTGTACAGTGTCCCTGCAATAAAAATGAAATTTTCCCTGAGTTTAAAAAAACCAAAAATTAATATTCTGGAAAATATCGTCATTCAGGTAGGTTTTTTTTTTATTTTTATCTATTATATATTTGCATTATTATTGCGATTGCTTTTTCTCTTTTTAATAATAACTAAGTAATGTTTATATATTTTGTAGCCACCCAATAATAATAATTGCCGTCCATCATCACCACCACCCCCTATGAGACTTATCTCTGAGCTCTCGGAGGAGGAGATGAGTCGATTAAGATCTCCAGAGCCCAGTTCTCCACAGCCCTCATGTTCCTACCAGCAGCCGTCTCCTCTCGATATCGACTTGACGCCATCTATGTTCGATGGCGAAGAGGAAAATGGTGGAAAGAACATGAAGTTATTGAGGGCGTTGTGTGAGAACATGCAGGCAACCCCTGAGGAGCAACAGCAACAACAACAACAAGACACGAATGCAACTCTTCCTGTTCCTGATGCTGATGTACGCTCCCCATCAGTGCACCATCAGCAGCAACAGCAGGAAGAGGAGGAAGGGCAACCGATCCGCCGGACACCACCCCCGACACCTCGAACTGTGGACAGCGAGGATGAGTTCCAGTCGCCATCCACGGCACCGGAACTTCTGGCGTCTTTCCGTTCGAAGTGTCGGGAGGCCGAACGAACCCATAAAAAGAAAAGGTTCGACCTCCTGAAAAAAAAGACGAGGTGTGAAAAAAACGTCAAACAATATGAGAAAAAAGTGTGTGATTATCAAAGACTTCTTGCGGAAGCCAAAAAAGAACTCTATGATCTCAACAAAAACTTGAAAAATTGTGAAAGCAGTGCTGAAGAAGTAAAAAACTTATTAAATAGGATTAATTTTGTACAGTGAATAGTGTATATAGTGTATAGTGTATAGTGTATAGGGTATAGTATATATAGTAGTGTTTAGTGTTGTAGTGGTAGCAAATTGTTGTAGTGGTAGCAAATTGTTGTAGTGATAGAAGTAGTGGAAGCAGCAAATATATACATATATCTCTTTTTTTAATAGTGCTTTTTGATGGTTTTTGATGTTTTTTTGTTGGTTTTTGAAACTTGAAATTTTTTCTTTAGTGTCTTAGTGTACTTAGTTGTGATGGTAGTAGTCATGTGACAATAAATATAAAGACAATAACCTATTTCGCTTTTTTTTTTTTTTTTTTTTAAGTGTTGCATGTTGGGCTTATTCGAATCCTTTTTCGATGGTCTTTTTTTCGACCTGAAAAAATTTTTACGTAGCGACCTTGAAAAAACTAAAAATGGCTCCTGTATCAAGGTTGACGTGGACAGAATCGATTTTTTTGAGCAAACTTATCCGTTCGTTCCATAAGAAGGTTTTGATGTATACAACCGATACCGTATCTCTTACCGTTTGGGCACTAGAAACTTTTGCCCTTTTCTCCCTCAATTTCAACTTTTTTCGAAATTTTTTTTGCTCAACGTGTGTCTTAATTTTTTTAGCTTTTTTCCGTTCCCTTGTACCGACATGCTACCTCTTACCCCTTAGGAGCTATAAGGTTTTTTCGTTATTACTACTAAACGGTAGATGAAAATACTTTTTTTGCTACGTAGACCTATAGACCGTTCATTCGGAAATATTTTGGTACAAAAATCTATTTTTTAAGTTTTACCGTTTGGGCGCCACAAACTTTTGCCCTTTTCACAGTCATATCAAAAGTTAGCGAAAAACCGTTGACGGCTGTCGATATTATTTGTTTTTGTCAATCTTTTCTGCCCTATACACGAAACTCCTATCTCTTACCATTTTCGAGTAACAAAAATTTTTTCTATTTAAACGGTAGATACACCTATGAGTCATGATCATGTTTACACACGATTAGATAGTACTTCATGAATATGCATTTGTTTTTGTGAAAAAACAAACTTTTCTAAATTTGGATTTTTTTTTTGAGATTTTTTTTGCTTTAATTTTTCTTTGGATTCTTTGAATTTTTTAAATTTTTTTTTTCACCAAAACTTCTAATTTACTTTCCTACTGCTCAAGGAAAACTTTTTTTCGAATTTTGACAACCTTTTTTGACAAAAATTGTTGCGCCCCAAACTCAAATTTTCACATATTTAATTATATGGACCTATCGATTATTCATCCGAAAATAATTTGACACAAAAAACAAATTTTTAACTAATTCCGTTTGGTCACCACAAACTTTTGCCCTTTTCTCCGAAATGCTAAACTCAAACTAAAAACCGTCAAGATAGGTGCATGTGTTTCGTATTTTAGAAACTTTTTTGTTCTTTGCACGAACCTCCTATCTCTTACCGTTTTCGAGTTAAACATTTTTTTTATATTTAAACAATTATTACACCCCTTACCCTCATTTATTTTTACACAAATTGTGTCATTAGTTTATAGAGATGCGTTTTTCTTTTTTTGTGAACAAACTTTCTGCTGTATGGCACCCTGAAGCGATAATTCCTTATTTTTAAATATTTCCGAATACGTCCCTGTCTAATGAGAAAATAACGTGTGGTTCCGAAGGAATCTGCTGATGCGAAAGAATATTGTTATAATGACGGACGACGACGCGTTTCGGTTTACAAATTTTAAGGTGAAAATATTCGTAATTATATCGGAAAATAAGTGGTTTTCTTGCTTTGTTGTGGACACTAAATGGTGGTTTTTGTGATATGTGTGTGTATGCATGTTTTCGAGAAAGAACGGATAATTTTACTGTCTGTTTTCGACGATGTAAGTGACATTTTTTAATTTTAAACAACACACTCTCGCCTTCCGACATTTGATATTTTATTCTAATAATTACGGACGTGTTTCGCATCATTATTTTTACGTTAGATTGATCCGTAATTATTTGTAATGTACAAGATTCCGAGTGCAAATAAGCTTAAATCAACAGAAACTTGCTTCGGACAGCTGAAATTTTATTTTAAATTATTACGGGCGTGGTTCGGTTTATTATTTGTCGTTTGGGTAAAAGTTTATGTAGTCTGGGCCTATTTTCGACCCAAAACAAATAATTTTTTTGTCTGTTATGAATAACCTAAGTGACCATTTTAAACGGAATTTTGTCGGAAGAAACACGGCTTTTATTCGTGACGGTTAATCGCAATTAAATAATTTTATATGGGACTGGTGAAAATAACACACCAAACGAAATAAACAATATTTATTACAATATAATAATATAATTTGAATTATTCCAATTTTCGAAGAAGTTATTTAACTGATTTTCTTTGTTGAATAATTTTCAATTGTGAATTTAACTTTTCGATTGTTTCTCTAAATTTTCGCTTCTTCTCCATCATTTTTTCGATTAACGGTTTTATTTGTATTTCGAAACGTTCCACATTCATTTGAAATCTTCTAACATCATATAACCAAGTATTAATTCGGTTTTCTTTATCATTTATTAAGAAAATAACAGGTATATTATCGAAGCACACACGTCTTTTATTCATGACGATTCACCATAAAATAATATTTTGTACGAGGATGGTGAAATAAAACACAGTAAGTGATTAATTATAATTTATTAAAATCATTAATTCTACAGCTTAAGATTATTAAGTCCTTTTCTTATTTCATACAACTTAATTGCTTCTTTTATGGAACGAATCCGTTCCAAATGTAAATCTAATCTCCGATGCAAAGTTTTAACGATATTTAGATTATATTTCTTATTTTTCATTATCTTCATCCTTCAATGAATTCTATATTGACTGTTTGACCGATCGGTCCTTTGTTGACGAAATGCAACTTCCAGCCGTTGGCAATTTTTCTGTTCAGATCGTCGATTACTGAATCGTCGAATTTTTCA